AAGAAAGAAAGAAAGAAAGAAAGAAAGAAAGAAAGAAAGAAAGAAAGAAAGAAAGAAAGAAAGAAAGAAAGAAAGAAAGAAAGAAAGAAAGAAAGAAAGAAAGAAAGAAAGAAAGAAAACATTTAGATACCTGCTCTGGTGGTAGACTCTGAACTTCTTACTTGGCTTCTGACATCTTTAAAATCAAGCCCATCCTCCTTTTTTTAAACCAAGCATGGGCAAAGTGTGGGTATTTATGAGGCCATTTGGGCCATGGCAGATCTTCCTGATGACCACGTTGAGTTGAAAAAAAAGATGAACACAATCACAAATTTCTTTCCTTTTCTCAAGTTCTCCAGAAACAGCTTTTTTTTCATTGAGTATGATGGGAGAGCTAATAGGTCCCTTAGCTAAGAAAGAACTTCAGTTTGGCTCCAAGTCTACCGGGTTCCAGTCTGACTTTATGAGTTCTATTCTGGGTCTTTTTCAGATAAAAGATACATCAATGTGTATATTTTCTAAAAAGCAAAACACAAATTTAAGTAAGGAGAGTCCGAACAGCAAGGGGTGCATTAAGACTTATCAAGCAGGTCTTCTGTAAAAATAATGACTCCTAGTCACCCATTCAAGACCAAACTGTTGGGAGTTTTGTTGCAACCTTGCAACTTCTTTGTTGCATCCTCTTTTAGGTGTGGCTGGATGGGGTGATTGTCAATCTATCCAGCAGCAACCAGATGTTCCCTCCTACCTCGTAATTCAAAGAGAGACCTGCTCTTTAATGAGAGCTGTTTTTCACCCTCTCTGTTGTCTTCTGGCAGTTAATAATCTGTTGGAAGTCAGTTCGTTGAAATCTTTGCTGAAAGTCAGACAGCCATGTGTTGTTAGTTTGCTGTAAATTTGTTCAATTGTGAGTAAATGAAACCTTTTGCTTTTTCATCTACTAATGTCTCAGGATGAGACTTACTGAGACTAAATGCCAATTAATGAGAGAAAAGGGATGATCTACCCAGGAAACGTATTCTGCTCTGTGAATCCCAATACTTCTGTTGTGCAGCCAGAAAAACTTAACCAAAATTCAAAACTCTGCAATAAAAACCTTTCTCAAATACTCTGCATTACAAGCGGGATAGTTTACAACAGTATATTGTACCTGAGAAAACTCATTTTTCTCTCTGTGAATCTCAGAGGAAGCACAGAAGATGGTTCGCCACTATGCCAGAGCCCACAACACCACCCAGAACACATCAGACTCACTGTGCCATCTGGACGTAAACGTAGGCAAGAACCAAAATCGGCCAGCCGGATGTGCCCGTTTGTGTCGATGAGGATGTTGTCCGGTTTGATGTCCCTGTAGAGCGGGGAACAACGTTAGCCAATGCCAGAGACACACAGTGGTTGTAGCCTTGGAAGCTGGGGGGAGGGCAGTGGCTAGAACTCTAACTACACCTCAGGGGCCCCTCAAAAGTCTCCAGCTTATTTGGAGGATACAGGAATTTGTTTCTCTGAAGTTCTCCAGGAGAAGGAAGAAAGGATAGAATGAGGCAACATGGATCCAAGTATTTTTTTAAAAGCAAATTTTCCAAATGTAGGTACACCCCCACCTCCCTAGCTACCACCCTTGGCTATCTGCATTGCACTTCTTATAACTGAAGATGATAGTCCGCAACTTTGCCGATACGTCAGGTCCTCATCAAAGACCAAATGCTACTTTTCTCATCTTATGAGTGAAGAAGGCGGGGAGGGGGTGTTGCTTCCACAGAGGGGTAGTTTCTGAGGTGCAGCTGTTCTAGAGAATTCGCACAGCCAGGTGCTTAACAAGAGTGAAAAAATGCAGACCAATCACTTAGCCAATGAGAACTAGCAGATTTCTTCTCCACCAAGAGCAGATCTTTTGCAACATTAAAGGTAAAGGTACAGGTTCCCCTTGACAATTTTTGTCCAGTCGTGTTCAACTCATCCCCATTTCCAAGCCATAGAGCCAGCATTTTTTGTCCGAAGACAATCTTCCGTGGTCACATGGCCAGTGCGACTTAGACACGGAACGCTGTTACCTTCCCACCGAAGTGGTCCCTATTTATCTACTTGCATTTGCATGCTTTCGAACCGCTAAGTTGGCGGGAGCTGGGACAAGCGACGGGTGGTCCCTCTGTCACGTGGATTTGATCTTATGACTGCTGGTCTTCTGACCCTGCAACACAGGCTTCTGCGGTTTAACCCGCAGCGCCACCATGTCCCCTTTGCAACATTATCAGCTCTTAATTGTTAGCTCAGAAAATCATATTAGGACACAGAGAACTCTTTAAAATATATTGTTGTTGCTGAGAGATCTATCTATCCTCTAGTTACTCAGAGGATGGCAGCTAAGCATAGTATGAAGTCTAAGAGAGGCAGAAAATGAATGCCTGTTCATCAGAAAGTCTGAACATTCTGACCCCGAGAACCCTGCCTCCATTGCAACATCACATGCCAGCTCAGTTACCTGTGGACATATTGAAGCTGGTGGAGGGAGTCGATCGCCAGGACCATCTCGGCCAGGTAGAAACAAGCCATGTCTTCAGGGAGGCGGTCTTCAAACTTGCTGAGGAGGGTCAGCAGGTCTCCACCTGCATAGTAATCCATTACCAAATAGGGGGGGGGAGCAGAAAAGGGTGGGTGGAAGGCATGAAATAAAAAGTGAAGATCAAAGCAAAGACCTTATCTAGACAAGCTTTCAGCATCTGGCTGGGTTTTAAATGAAGTGCCTTTTTTTTCTTCACAGTGATGTGTTTTTCATTACATCTAAAATTTGTTTTTGTGTTTTAACCATGTTTGTTTGTTTTTAATATGAGTTTTATTGTAGGGACCATTGTTGCATTTTTTGGATAGGGAGGATATATTTCTTTTTCTTTACTGTTCCCTGTTGCACATTGTGGGTTGAAATGTAGTGTTTTATCATTTACAACTTTCTATTTATATTTTATTATATTATTGTTTGACTGTTAGCCGCCTAGAGTGGTCCTCACCCGACCAGATAGGCGGGATAAAAATAAAATAAATAAATAAACCCCCATTACTGTGAGGAAAAAAACTAAATTAAACTTACTGAGGATATTTATAGAAATATATTTCTTAGTATTCAATACCTTAAAAAACCTTAACATCCCATAGGATCTTGAAGTCTGACAAGTTTTATGTCAAAAAAAGCTAATAAGACAGCACTGTATCCTACAGCTGCTTTGGGAATGGGCTGGTTTACTCCATTTTGGTCATTGTGAATCAGCCCACCCATTATTCATGCCTACCCATACCATTCTGGGTCACCGGCAGAGTGTGATGTGTTCTTTTTCCCCTCCTAAGTGTTGTTAGGACTGCTCTGCTTTGGCTGGTTCCAGTATGTGTGATCACTGGGACTGAATAAAACTGGACCCTCCATGTCACTTACTAATAAAGTAAAACATTTTTTAAAATTCAGCTTTCCTTGAAGGAGAAGACTGTTTTTGCAACCCTGCATGCTCCCCTCAGTAGGTTTGGCTGGGAGAAACAATTCTGGACTGGAGTGACTGTCAATCTGTCCAGTACTAATTGTTCTTTCCCTGCCCATGAATTTAAAGAGAGCCCCACCTCTCTGCTCAGTGTCCCTCCCCCTCTCCAGAGTCTGTTGAAGTCTTTTGTTGAAGGCAGTCATGTCTGTTAATATGCTGTTTTGATGTGTTCAGTTGTAAATAATGAAACCTTTAATTCTTTTTTCCCTACTAATGTCTCAAAGTGAGTTATTGAACTGTAACTGCCAGCTGATGAGAAAAGGGGGTGGAATAATGTGAGGAATATGAAGCTAGTCTGCTCTGTGAATTCCTGCACATCTGCTGCTCAAAGGAATATAACCAAAAAATTCAAAACTCTGCAACAGAGACACTAGAGGACGGAGATATGGAGATCTTCTCCAGGGATGGTTTAATTGTTCGTAAAATCTAATCACCATGTTACTTGGTGGCACTTGCTGGCAAGTTGATTTACCAGAATGCCACTTGCCAAAAAACACAAATATTTTTTTCCAGTGTTCCTCTGCTCCATCACTGGGATGTGGAGGAGACCTTTTTTCCTCCCCCATTCTTTAGAGTTCCATGCTACGTCACTTGGTGACAAAGCAATTAATGGGCACATCATTGACCATTTTTAAAAAATGGAGTTTCCCCCTGCTCCCCACAGAGAGGGAGACAGCAAGAAAGGATGCAGGAGCCAAATATGGTTGCTTTGAGAAGCAGTGTGGTTTCCTGTCCTAAAATCACTTATTCCTGGCTTGTGGATCCAAAAAGGTAAAGGTAAAGGTTCCCCTTGACAATTTTTGTCCAGTCATGTTCGATTCTAGGGGGCGGTGCTCATCCCCGTTTCCAAGCCATAGAGCCAGCGTTTGTCCGAAGACAATCTCCCGTGGTCACATGGCCAGTGCGACTTAGACACGGAACGCTGTTACCTTCCCACCGAGGTGGTCCCTATTGATCTACTCGCATTTGCATGCTTTCGAACCGCTAGGTTGGCAGGAGCTGGGACAAGCAACGGGCGCTCACTCCGTCGCGTGGATTCGATCTTACGACTGCTTGGTCTTCTGACCCTGCAGCACAGGCTTCTGCTGTTCAGCCCACAGCGCCACCACGTCCCAAGGGTCACCCTAAATGGCATATTGCACTCTAAAGAAACCCTGCTTAGTCTGATCCAATGTGATCCCACTAGACCATCTAATCACACTCTCAATATGCTTTATCAAATCCCTGATCAATTTGTCTGGAGAACTGTTTGGTCCACCCGGAGGGCCACAGCAATTTCTCAAAACAGCTACAAAGTGCTCACCTTCCTCTTCCAATAACATGGGTGGTTCAGCCCCTCCGCCTGCTCAAACCAAGTGAACCTACAGGGATCATTTCCTCCATCTCCAAAAATCCTTCTGCTAGGGGTGGTGGGTGGTGGGATCTCTTGGGGAGGCATGCAAGCCAAATCAGGGGCTTCCATCCATTCCTCCAAGACCTTACAACCATCGTGGGCTTCCTGAGGAGGCTTACCAGGTAGTGATCGTCCTGGAAGGCATAGTGCAAAGTGGTGATCCACTGTCTGTCCCCATGAACCAGCACGTCTCGCTCCTCCCGGAAGCAAGCGGTCTGCAAGGGAAGCCGTACAGAAAACCACACTTAATACCCGACTCTGTGATTCCAGACTTAGCTCAGTTTTTGGTCTCCGGCAGAGGGAAGACAGATTTCCCCTCAAAAGTACACAAGGCAAGATAGAAACGACTGCCCAGTGAATTGCAGTCTGGGAACTGTAGTCCAAGGACACTCGGGTTATCCAAAGATGGGAACCGCTGACGTACAGTGATGAGCCTACTAGCTGAGGTTCAGAGAGTTGCCAAAGACTGACTGCCAGCTAGTTGGGGACTAAGGAGAAGTCACCTTTCTGCATGGGGGCACCCTTGCCCTGCATCCTCCCAAAGCAAAGCCAAAAGGGCACAAAAAGTGGTTTATCCAAGCTCCAACTTGAGCTCTTCTTGACTGCTGGAGAGAATTATGTCTAGTGATAGGGATGAAGAGGGACCGAGTTTGAGTCTGGATTTCATGAAGAAATGGCAGAACAGCCCTTGAGACTAGGCTTTGGCATCCAGGTGAATTGGGGGGGGGAGAGGTCAAGAGAAAGGAAAGTGGGTCATTGTGGGCAAAGTAGAAGGCAGAGTGATATGACGGCCCAGGTCACAGTCACAGTTGAACTCATGGCCTTTGTGTCAGACATCCATTCAATAACCCGAAGAGCGGCTTCTAAGCTTCATTTAGGCCAGGGTGGCAATGTTCTGGACTACAACTCCCATCAATCCTCACCACTGGAGAGGCTGGTGGAAGGTATAGTTCAGCAATTCTGGAAGGCCACAGAATGCCCAGCTCTGGTTCTAGGAAAAATCTTCTGGGGATACAAAGAGTGATGGGGTGTTGAAAGTGACACAGTGGAGGTACAGTGAGGGCGTACTGGTGACCACACCTGAGGCGATTTATTTTCTCATATGCCTCGATGGACAAGAGGTCTGGCGGATATCCTTGTAAGCCTCTCCCTCATCATTGATCATTATTGTTGGAGTTTTTACCACCTTGCATGCTGTATGTAGTTTGAGAGACTGGGAGGAACGTTTCTGGACTGGGATGACCATCCAAGCTAAGAACAGTAACTATACAAACATTTAAAAAGAATATTTAAAGCATCATATAAAAACGGTAAATAAAACCAATACTACAAACACATTTAAAAGCAACAAAACACCACAATCAAATATGAAAAAAAAACCCTCTCAGACTGCTAGTCACTAATGAAAACCTTGCCTGAAGAGAAATGTCTTTGCCTGCCGACAAAAGTACAGTTGACGAGAAAAGGGTGGACTATCTGATGAACTAAAAGTTATTTTCTTCTGTCAATCTCTGTATTTCGGCTTCATGGTAAATAGGGAATTTTACAAGAAATTCAAAACTGCCACTATCAATGCTGTGTGTGTACACACACACATATACACATCATCAGACCTATTTATTCCAGTCTGGATTTAGCACTTTAAAAATGTTTAACTTCTGGTTTGTATATGTTGGTTAACATTAATTTAATTTTAACAATAATAATAATAATTTATTGTCATTGAACATATGTACACTGCATACACATACAATGAAATTCACAAAGAACACTCAGGCACCAGACCAAAACAGACACACCCTCATAACAATCCTAAAACCCAGAACCCTGCCTAAGAGCACACAGTTTTATTATATAAATCATCAGCCCTATGAGGCTGATGAATTCTGAGTTACAAATTAAAAATCGTGACTATAAATAGATATAGTTCAGGAACTTGTAAAATGCTCAAACAGAAAGAGAGAGAGAGAGAGACACAGAGCATTCAAACCGCAGGGGCTGCTGCTGTGATCTGGTGAAGTAGCAGCTGCTCACAAGTAGGTGCGTGACTAGTTTCATGTCACATTACCACAAAATATGCCAAAATCATCTACAGAGTGCTGGGTGCTGGACTGGATCTCTACCCAACATGGCCTGGCACAAGCCAAAAAATGTCCATGGCTGTGGCCGGGGACCATCTCCTCCAGAGTCACTCATTCCCTGGGTGTTATGCTGGCTTCCAGATGGTCCTGAAACTACAAACCCAGCAGAACTTATCCTTATCTTCCCTGAGCAGAAAATACTAAGGAAGCAAACCCGGACCTGGCTCCTGGATCCAACGGTAGGATTCCTGCATTTCTTTTTGAGCCCCGGTTCCACCCAGCATTAGATCCACTCACTCTTTGACTTCCATCCACACCTGGCAGCCCTTCTAAAATGACCCACTGTTCTTTGAAACAGTTCTCTCTCTCTCTCCCTTCCCATGCCTCGTTCCATGTGGTCCAGGGTAAAAAGGGTGAGCGGGGGGGGGGGGGAAAGTACCTCTGCTCTCTTCAGCATCTCCCATTTGTGCAGAATCTTCATGGCATAAACCTTCTCTGTCTCTTTCATCCTCACAACTGCTACCTAGTGGTAAGAAAAGAAGATGCATCCAGAATGTCACTCAGGCATCTTGGAGGTGATATGGAATCATGAGAATTAGGTTCTTTTTAGACAATCTAATAAGAGTTAAAAGGTAAAGATTCCCCATGATGGAATCATGAGAATTAGGTTCTTTTTAGATGATCTAATAAGAGTAAAAAGGTCAAGGTTCCCCATGACATTTAGTCCAGTCATGTCCAACTCTAGGCAGCAGTGCTCATCCCCGTTTCCAAGCCGTAGAGCCAGTGTTTGTCCGAAGACAATCTTCCGTGGTCACGTGGCCAGCGTGACTAGACATGGAACGCTGTTACCTTCCCACCGAGGTGGTCCCTATTTACTGTATGTACTTGCATTTTTGCCTGCTTTTGAACTGCTAGATGGGCAGGAGCTGGGACAAGCAAGGGGCGCTCACTCCGTCGCGTGGATTCCATCTTATGACGGCTGGTCTTCTGACCTTGCAGCATAGAGGCTTCTGCGGTTTAACCCGCAGCGCCACCACGTCCCTCTAATAAGAGTACATTTTAATAAACTGAAAACCTTTTTCTCAAAAATATATTGTTAATTTGGAATAAGTAAAGAAAAACACTTAGTCCAAAATATTTCCACTATGCCCAGTGATAAGATTTGGAGAATTTCCCACAACTTTGGAGACTGTATTAAGAGCGAGCACTAATTCGTTGCTTTTGTTGTTATGTCCCATCAAGTCACCCCTGACTTATGGTGACCGCAGGAAAGAGCAGTCTCCAAACTGTCCTGTCTTCAACAGCCCTGCTCAGCAATTGTAAACTCAAGCCTGTGGCTTCCTTTAGGAAGAGTCAGTCCATCTCGTATTTGGTCTTCCTCTCCTCCTGCTGTCTTCCCCCTTTCCCCACATTACTGTTTTTCCAGTGCATCCTGCCTTCTTATGATGTGCCCAAAATAAGATAGCTTCAGTTTCAACATTCCTGCCTCCAGAGACTAACTCACAGGGCTACCATAAATCTGGAGCAATTTGATGGCACATAACAACAACGACAAATTGTGGGCCCATACCAAGTAGAAGATTTTGAGGTAGGGGGGAATCATTAGGGCAGAGATGGGGAAAATCTGGCCCTCGTCATATTTTGAACTTCAGCTCCCAGATATTCTAACCAGCATGAGCATTGGTGAGTGACTGCAGGACTTCTATTTCAGAATTCCTGGAGGCCAGAATTGTTTGTCTTCAAACTATAGCAAACCAAATAATCAATGTACAGTCATGCCCTGCTTTATGATTGCCCTGCATTATGACGAAACTGCTTTACGACAATCTTTTTGCAATCGCAATTGTAATCAATCCAACTGGAGACTGCATCCAAGAAATCAGAAGAAAGTTAAGACTTTTTTAAAAAAAGCCAACAAAACAAAATTGACCGTCAGTCCCCCCCAAACAAAACAAAAGTCACCCACCCAAAACTTTTGTTAAAAGCAGCACCTCATCGGTCCAAAGCCTCCTCAGCCTCCTGGGCTTCCACCGCCACTGCAACCGCCGCGGCTGGGAGGCTTGAGCCTGGATGGGGTGCTTTGGCTGCTCACCTCCTGCTCGCTCCTCGCCACCCTCTGCGGACCGAGGCTGACGCTGGTACCTGACACCGGCTCCAGCTCCGGAACTGGCACCAGTAGCTGCTCGCCGGGGCGGCCGTGCCAGTCCTCAGCGCTCCTCCGCAGGCCGATGGCAAGAGATTCAAATGGCGCTGATTCCCGACGCTGGGCCACCCCCACCACCGTATCCCTTTCCTGAACCGTTGGGGCGAAAGAACTACAAAGAAGCAGCCTCCTCACCACCAACAGTTAGTACATTTAAATTTCCCGCCCTTTCCCCCTGCCTTTTTTCGTTCATAAGTCAAAGCTCCGTTCGCAAGTCAAAGCAAAATTTTGCGAACGGAGCTGTTCGTAACTCAAAATGTTCGTAGGTCAAAGCGTTTGTAAGTCAAGGAACAAGAAATCTGTTCATCAGATGGATGGCAATTGTCCTCAGTGATCGTGGTGGATTCATCACTCAACCCCTTTTGCTATTGTTTTTTGGTTCCTCTTCTTCAGGTGTGACTTGCATCTCCTAACAGTCAACACATGGAAACTGGGGTAGCAATTTATCCCACCACCTTGCAAGGCAGACTCAGTTATCCTCTGTGGGCTGATATGTTTGCATAATCTGAACATGGAAATGTGCCTTGGCACTCACCTCTCCGAACGCCCCTCGCCCAATCACCTTCAAAATCTCGAAGTCATCTCTGCGCAGACGCAGTTGCTTTGCTTTGGTGACAAAAGGGGAGGCTGGAAAGCACACATGAGGGGGGGGGGAGAGAGAAAGGGTTACTTCAGATTTCCTGTGTTGCCAAATTCCTGTACCAATGGATTTTAATGACACACACATGGACACAGACAGACACATGAAAATATGTTTCCAAAACTGCCTGCAACAGAATTATACATTTTAAACGTACCTTAAAGTTCATTGCTGTTCCAAGTCCTCCATACAGAGCACATTACCATAGTCTCTCAAGACTGAAGGATGTCTAACTAAAGTTCATCAGCTATATACTGTATTTTTCCATACATAAGATTATACTTTTGTCTAAAATGTTTAGACAAAAAAAGTGAGGGTCATCTTATACACGGAAGTAAGCTGAGGGGAGAAAAAAACAAGTGGAGGGGAAAGCAGGGATCAAAGCAACCCTGCCGCAGTTTGATCCCTTTCCCCCTACACTTGCTAAGCCCCACTTAGGTTTCTTAATTTTGGATTAGAAAAGTGAGGGCGTCTTATACATAGGGTGTCTTATACACGGAAAAATGTGGTACATTTTATATACACTTTAGGAAGACAAAAATCATGACTATAGAAGAACTACACAACTTTAGCATTGACAATGAAGAAAGTGAAATAGCTAGGAGATTTGGTACACCTTGATTCAGTCATCAATCCAACCGGAGATTGCATCCAAGAAATCAGAAGAAAGTTAAGACTAGAAAGGGCAGCAACAAAGGAACTGAAAAATATCATCAAATATAAGGAGATCAGGACCATCCACACTCTTGTATTTCCAATCACTATGTAGGGGTGTGAGAGCTGAACAGTAAAGAAAGCTGACAAGGGGAAAAATAGATTCGTTTGAAATGTGGTGCTGGAGGAGAGCTTTGCGGATAACCTGGACTGCCAGAAAGGTCAACAAGTGGATCCTAGATCAAATCAAGTCTGAACTATCTCTGGAGGCAAAGATGTTGAAACTGGGGCTGTCCTACTTTGGGCACATCATGAGAAGAAAGGATTCTCTGGAAAAAAAGACAAAGACCAAATATGAGATGGACTGATTTCCTTAATGGAAGCCAGAGTTTATAAGAGCTGGTTAAGGACTATTGGGGGCAAAACATTTTGGAGACTGCTCATTTGTGGGGTCAACGTAAGTCAGGGCTGACTTGCTCGCACGTAACAACAACAATGAATCAGTGATCTCTCCTAATAAATTCTCCAAATCTGTCAAAGTCACTGGGAAATTCTCCAACTCTATCACTGGGTATAGTGGAAAAATTTTGGATTAAATATTTTCTATACTTACTCCAAATTAATTACATAATTTTAAGAAAAATGTTTTCAATTTTATAAAAATACTGTACTATTTTTAAACATACTCTTATTTTTTAAAAACATGCTTTCTAAAAAGAATGTTCACAAAATTCAAATCTACTTCTCATGATTCCATATCACCTCCAAGATGCCCGAGTAACTTTCTGGATGCATCCTCTTTTCTTACCACTAAGTAGCAGTTGTGAGGATGAAGGAGATTGAGAAGGTTTATGCTGTAAAGATTCTGCACAAATGGGAGAAGACAGCAGAGGTCATTCATACGATCGCAATACGTTGGAGATGATTTTATGGCACATGACAACAATAAAAGAGGTCATCTACCTCCTGAATCACTGTCAGACTGCCATCTTGCCTCTGCTAAATACCAACAGCGAAGAATTCACTACTTTTCAAGATACAGTGGTGCCTCACTTGACGACATTAATTCATTCTAGCAAAATCGCTGTAGAGCGAAATGGTCGTCAAACAAAATTAAAAAACCCATTGAAACACATTGGAAATAGTTCAATGCGTTTCAATGGGCTGAATACCTGCTTGTCCAGCGAAGATTCTCCATACGACGGCCATTTTTGGTGCCTGTAATGCGAGGAATCCGTCCCTAACACAGCAGGGAGCCATTTTCTTCAGCCAGTGGCCATTTTGAAACCCGACAATCAGCTGTTTGCTGATTGTCGTAAAGCGAAAAATCGGTTCCCGAAGCAGGGAACCGATCATCGCTAAGAAAAAAAAAATCCATCTAAATATTGTGAAGCGATCGCAAGAGCGATCGCAAAAACTTCAGTGTTAAGTGGAATCGTCGTAGAGCAGGGTAATCGTCCAGCGGGGCACGACTGTACAGTACTGTTTTAATGACAACTCCTTCTTATAGCTAGAAAGGTCCTTCTACAGTGGTGCCTCGCTTAACGGGCGCTCTGTTTAGCGACGAAACCGCATGGCGACGAAGATTTTGCGATCGCAAAAGCGATCGCATTGTGATGTTTTAAATGGGTTTTTTCGCTTTGCGATGATCGGTTCCCTGTTTCGCTTACCGATCATCACAAAGCAATGATTTTTTTAACAGCTGATCGGCAGTTCCAAAATGGCCAACCGCTGTGTTTTTGCACAGATTCCTCGCTTAAGAGGCAGCGAAAATGGCCGCCGTATAGAGGATCTTCGCTTTAAGGTCAGTTTTTTGCCCATAGGAACACATTAAACAGGTTTTAACGCGTTTCTATGGGATTTTTAAAATCGCATAGCGACAAAATCGCTTAGCAGTGATTATTGCTGCACTGATTAACGTTGCTATGCGAGGCACCACTGTAAAATGTAGCCAAAATTTGATTTAGTGGTCCTTCCCTCACTCAGATCCTGCAAAGAAGGGACAGCATTTTTCCTTTTATGAAGAAAATTTCCCCTCCACTCATTTCTTGCTTGACTTGGTTTCCATCTGTGTTTTTCTTTGGTCTTTCAGACCCACCTCTTTTCCTCAGCAGATTCACAACAACAAAATGGCATGGTCAGCTATAAGAAAATGTTTTAAAAGATACCCATTCACATGTAGGCTGCACTGAGAAGAGCCTTGATTGCCCTCAACCTCCCATGCATGAGTTCCTTCTCCCAAACCAAAGCAGCCTTTTCTGGTACAGAAAAGGCAGGGGAGCACTTTTCAGAAATGGTTGGCCAAGTGAACCAGCCCCCTTATTTTTGTTGTTTAGTCGTGTCTGACTCTTTGTGACCCCACGGACCAAAGCACGCCAGGCCCTCCTGTCTTCCACTGCCTCCCGGAGTTGGGTCAGATTCATGTTGGTTCCATCAATGACCCTGTCCATTCATCTAGTCCTCTTTCGTCCCCTTCCTGCCTTCACACTTTCCCGACATCATCATCTTTTCTCCAGGGAGTCTTCTCTTCTCATGAGACGGCCACAGGATTGAAGCCTCAGCTTCAGGATCTGTCCTTCCAGGGAGCACTCAGGGTTGAGCCCAGTTATACAGCGATATACACACAGCCTATCTGCAGCAAGGTTTTGTGCTTTGGCTGGGGAGACGGCCAGGGCCCATTCAGGGGAATGACGGGAGTTGCAGTGGAGGGCACAAAGCTGACCAAGGATGTGTTATTGTTCTTTGTTGCATTTATATTCCATCTTTTTATGGTGACTAAAGGTAGTAGATGCACCTCTCCTCCGTGTTGTAAGCTCATAACAACCCTGCGAGGCAGGCTAGGCTGAAATAAATGTCCATAGCTGAAAGGAAACATGAAGCCAGTTCTCTCAAATGTTAGTCCAGTGTAAGCTGGTGGCTCCGTTCCATGCTTCAGTCCAAACTTTAAAGCAGATATCTATGCTGCCAAACATATTTTGGGATGGGGTCAACACCATGGGCAGCTGTAGTAAACTTTGGATTAGAGCTCAAGAGTTTTCCACCAGCTTCCCCTGTAATAGTCCAAAGCTATTCCTCACAACACCATGCTGGCTTCTTAGTGGGGCTGCTGGAAACTCTCTTTGACAGGGTTCCTTGATGGAGAACCTGCATTATAAGATCACAATCTTTCTGTGTGCAAACACTGTACGTAAGTAAAACAGGAACATGTCTGATGACATGTTCAATGAGCATACTGTAACTCCCTCCCAGAAAATGAATTCACACAGCCTGAACAGCTAGATGAGCCAACAGGGTGATGTCGCTGCAAAAATGGCCAATTCTGTTTTAGGCTGCATTCACGGAAACATAGTCCCAAAATCCTGTGAGGTACTAGTTCCCTTCTATTCTGAACTGGTTAGGCCTCAAGAGTGTTGTGTCCAGTTCTGGATACCACACTTTAAGAAGGATGCTGACAAACTGGAACAAAGGAGGGCAACAAGGATGATCAGGGGCCTGGAAGCCTGAAAGAACTCAGCATGTTTAGCCTTGAGAAAAGAAGACTGAGGGGAGATATTATAGCACCTTTCAAATACTTGAAAGTTAGTCGTATAGAGGAGGGGCAGCATCTGTTCTCAACCATCCCAGAATGAAGGAAACATATTAATGGCCTCAAATTACAGGAAGGCAGATTTAGGCTGATTATCAGGGGGAAAAAGTTTTAACCGTTAGAGCACGACAACAGTGGAGCCAACTACCTCAGGAGGTGGTGAGCCCTTCAATGCTCAAGAGAGAACAGGACAACCCCCTCACCGATCTGCTTCGATTTGAATTCCTGCCTTGAGCAGGGGGCCTGACCCGATGGCCTTGCAGGCCTCCTCCATCTTCATTATTTATGACTCTGTGATAACCGCTGCCTTCCACAGCTCTCCCTGCCTTACACCGCACTTCATTTGTAAGGACACTGCACGAGTGGGCAAAACAAGGAAGCCGGTGGAGCAGGGCTGCCGTTCTCTGCGGCTTTCGAGCGGCTCTGATCGGACCTGTTCTCCTGCCCCCGATGCCTGTTCCGGCCCGTGCGCAGGGTGGGGCGCAGGCTGCGCTTGCAGGCTCCATCATGCCCTGCTTCGCCGCCTGGCTCGTGCTCCCAGCGCACCTGTCTCCTCCTGCAGGGGCTGAAGTCCCTGTCAAGAAAGAGGATGTCGCATTTGGCTGCGAGGAGCGACCACAGGGCAGGGCAGGCCAGAGTCCCACACTTCCCTTCCTCTACTACTATCCTTGGGTGAAATTCAAGGTCTGATGCAGCTTAAGCATCCGGAGAGCCTCCACTATTGGTGTGGGGCTCCTTCTTCTAAAT